CATCCAGGTTTCTTTTATAGACATATTTCCCATTTAATTCCTTTCCAATTTAGTAAGTTACTTTCTGTAATCATTGCCCCGAGAATGAACAGGATAGGAAAAAGCAGGAAAAAAAGCAGCTCCTTCCTGACTTTTGTATTCTATGAGGCATAGAAAAAAAAATATGGGGGATTATAGAAAATCCTAAAGGAGTTCTGATGGTGTAGTGATTAATATGTTTGGCTACAAACCAAATGGGTTTGAATCTACCTGCCACTCTGTACAAGAAAGATGGGCAATCTTAAAGAATTACAGTCTAGGAAACCCAAGGGGGCTCACTATGAGTTGGAATCGACTTGATGGCAGTGAATTTGGTTTGTTTTTTTATACAATTCTAAGGGGCAATTCTGCTCTGTCATAAGGGGTCACTATGAGTTGGAATCAACTTAACGACACCCCAAAACAACAACAGAAACATAGCTGTATAAGAATAAGAGCTCCACAAGTTGGGATAGAAGGCAGCACAGAGGGAAAGTGATAGATACTTGGGAAACAGTTGTTAGTGGATCTCAGAGAAAGGAAGTCCCGCACCTTTGGGCTCAGCCTGGACTGGGGAGCAGAGGAGGGAGCAAAAACCCTATAGATTTGTGAAGTTCAAAAGAAGAGACCTGAGTCTTGTCTCCCAGGTAGAGAGTCTAGAAAGTTCAAAAACCCCAGAGAAGCAATAGCCTTTGGAGAGTCTCATAGATGCCCCACTGTAGTGGGACCGGGAGTTTGATTCCCAAGAACCAAGTAGATTAGAGACCTACCTACTTGGAGGAGGCTTGAAGGTAAGAAAAACACATCACAAAGGTGAGTGGGACATATGGGATGATAGATGTCTCAGCAGATAGTAATATAAAGAGAAGACACTGAGGAATAGATGGACTTCCTCCCATGGCTTCCAACCCCAACACTTTGGATTTATAGAAGCTTCTGCAATTTAGGTACAATTGCAGGTAAAAGTTGGAAGTATCCTAGAACTGACTGAAAAGTATATGTGAACTGCTGTATGAAAAGTGAATTTACTCTGTAAATCTTCACCCAAATCCTAATAAAAAAAAAAATAAATAAATAAATAAAAGGGATATAAAAATAGAAAAAAAAAAATTTTATAGAACTGACTGAAGATTTGCTTTTGTTTTTGTTTTTCTACCATTATAATAGAAAGGAAGATTTAAAAAAAAAAAAAAAAAAGATTGCTTAGTTGTAGAAAAATAAAGCTCTGTTTCTTGTATACTTGTTGCAATAGTTAAGTTGTGTGTCAACTTGACTTGTCCTGGTTTTGAGTGGTTGGACAGCTGGATGTAGTTATTCCCCGTGATGAGACTGGTAATAAACTCCATGGTGGAATCTACTGGAGCAGCTGAGTAGCTGCCTTAGGGATGTGGTCTGCCTCTAGTACGTAAGCAGCAGCTTTGAAGAAGGTCTCTAGTTTTGGCACTAAGGAATCATGCATGTAACCAAGTTATTGTTCAGCAGCCTGCTATATTGTCTGCCAATCTGGGGACTGTTAATGGACTTGAATTAGTGGACTGTTATGTGGTTTGATAGTTTGGGGACTATGCCATGATACTTGTCAACCTGGTCAGCCTCAGCAGTCAGCAGCTGCCTAAGTGAAGAGACGCCTCCAGCTCCAATGGGCCGGGAACAAGAGGCACATCTGAAGCCCAAGGTCAAGGGGCTTTTACCCAGCCCCTGGAGCTGGCACTTTGAACTCAGACTTCTGGCCTCCTAAACTGTAACTGAATACGTGCCTGTTTGTTAAGACTACCAATTTGTGGTATTTTATGCTGCAGCAGCACTATAGAACTTGTACACTAAATTTTAGACTCAAGACACTTAATAAAATAATAGTGATTAATACTTATTGGATGCTCATCCTCTACTGCACGAGGCATTGTTCATTGTTTTAAGTGCTTTATGTGTATTAATTCATTTAGGGACCAGCTTCTCTGCTTTTGAACTTTGTTTTGACTTTTATATCCCCTATTTAAGAATATTGAAAAGTACTATGGTGTACTTTTAAAAGGAAAATTTTTATTTTATTAGTAAGAATGCCTTTTATAAAAAAAATTTTATTATGAGTAATTTAAAACGCATACGAAAGTAGAGAGGAGCTCTGGTGGCATAGTGTCTGTTGGTGGCATTTGCCGCTAACCAGAAGGCTGGAGGTTCAAACCAACCAGTCACTCCTCTGAAGGAAGACTGGGGTAGAAAGAGAAGTATAAAATACCCAGTAGACCCATCTGCCAACCTTAGTTATTATCATGTGGTTGTTGTTAGGTGCCATTGAGTCGGCTCCAACTCATAGCAACCCTATGTACAACAGAACAGAACACTGCTGTGCTGGGTCCTGTACCCGTCTCACAATCCTTGCTATACCCGAGCCCATCATTGCAGCTGCAGTGTCAATCAATCTTGTTGAGGGCCTTCCCCTTTGTCATTGACCCTCCACTTTGCCAAGCATGATGTCCCTCTCCAGGATATGGTCCTTCTGACAACATGACGAAAGTAGGTGAGATGAAATCTGGCCATTCTTGTTTCCAATGAGCATTCTGGCTGCACTTCTTCCAAGACAAATTTGTTCATTCTTCTGGCAGTCCATTGAACTCTCAGTATTCTTCACCAACACCATAACTCAAAAGCATCAACTCTTCTTTAGTCGTCTTTATTTATATTTCAGCTTTCACATGCGTATGAGGTGATTGAAAATACTTTGGCCTGAGTTAGGTGCACCGTAGTCTTCAAAGTGACATCTTTGCAATTCAGTACTTTAAAGAGGTCTTTTGCAGCAGATTTGCCCAGTGCACTATGATATGTCGTTCTTGACTACTGCTTCCGTGGGTGTTGATTATAGACCCAAATAATATGAAATTTTTGACAACTTCAATCTTTCCTCCATTTATCATGATGCTGCTTATTGGTACAGTTGTGACAATTTTCATTTTCTTTGTGTTGAGGTGTAATCCATACTGCAGACTGTAGTTTTTAATCTTCATCAGTAAATGCTTCAAGTCGTCTTCACTTTCAGCAAGTATGGTTATGTTGTCTACATAGTGCAGGTTGTTAATGACTCTTCCTCCAATCCTGATGCCGCGTTCTCCTTCATATAGCCTGGCCTCTCAGATTATTTGCTCAGCACACAGATAGAATATGTATGGTGAAAGGATACAACCCTGACACACCCTTCCTGATTTAAACCATGCAGCATCCCCTTGATCTGTTTAAATGACTGTCTCTTGGTCTACATACAGGTTCCTCATGAGCACAATTAAGTGTTCTGGAATTCCCATTCTTTGTGATGTTATCCATAATTTATTATGATTCATACAGTTGAATGCCTTGGCATAGTCAATAAAACACAAGTAAACATCTTTCTGGTATTCTTTGCTTTCAGCCAGTGTCCATCTGACATCAGCAATGATATCCCTTGTTTCACTTCCTTTTCTGAATCCAGCTTGCATTTCTGGAAGTTCTCTGTCAATATACTGCTGCAACTACTTTTGAATTATTTTCAGAAAAATTTCACTTGTGTGATATTAATGATATTGTTCAATAATTTCTACATTCTGTTGAATTATTTTCTTTGGAATGGGTACAAATGTGGATCTCTTCTAGTCTGTTGGTCAGGTAGCTGTCTTCCACATTACTTGGCATAGACAAGTATGTGCCTCCAGTGTGGCATCCATTGGTTGAAACATTTCAATGAGTATTCTGTCAATTCCTGGAGCCTTGTTTTTCCACCAATTTCTTTAGTGCAACTTCAACTTCTTCCTTCAATACTGCTGTTGGTTCTTAATCATATGCCACTTCCTGAAATAGTTGAACATCAACCAATTCTTTTTGGTACAGTGACTCTGTGTATTTCTTTCATCTTCTTTCCTGCATCATTCAATATTTTTCCCATGCAACTTGAGGCTTGATTTTGTTTTTCAGTTCTTTCATCTTAAGAAATGCCAAACGTGTTCTTTCCTTTTTGTTTTCTAACTCCAGGTCTTTGCACATTTCATTATAAATAACTGACTTTGTCTTCTCAAGCTGCTCTTTGAAGTCTTCTGTTCAACTCTTTACTTTGTCATTTCTTCCATTTGCTTTAGCTACTCTCCATTCAAGAGCAAGTTATGATAGCTACGACTATCAACTCATAGCCAATCACATTCATATTTTAAATTAAATCCTAGACATCATATCATTTCATCTATATTCAGTACATGTCTCAAAAAAAAAGGCTTAATTTTGTCAAACATCCAGTGTTCAAATTTCTCCAATTATCTCATAGATTTTTTTTAACACTCGCTTATTCAAGTCAAGATCTAAATTGTGTCCACATATTGCATGTAATTGATGTATTTTAACTCCCTTTTATTTTACAGGTTTTCTTTCCTCTTATTTTTTTCCTTGAATTTATTTATTAGAGACTCCAGATCATTAGTCCTATAGAGTTTCCCACATTCTGGATTTTGCTGATCTTCATTGTGTCACTTAGCATGTTCCTCTGGCCACTATAATTCCTGTGTTGTTGTTAGCGTCTGTGGAGTCACCCCAAACTCATTGGTATGGAAACTCATGGTGACCCCATGAACAGCTGAATGAAACCCTGACCAACTGTGTAGCATTCTCAGATAGGACCTTTGTGAACCACAGGATTTTCATTGACTGATTTTTGTAGATTGCCAGCCCTTTCTTCCTAATCTGCTTTAGTTTGGAAGTTCTCCTGAAACTTGTTAGCATCATAGCAACACATAAACTTCCACTAACATATGGACAGAGCTCTGGTGGCATAGTGCCTAGGGCATGTGACTGCCAACCAGAAGGCTGGCGGTTCAAACCCACCAGCCACTCCTTGGAAGGAAGATTGGGCAATCTTCTTCAGTAGAGATACTGCCTTGGAAACCCAAGGAGGAGGGATCGCTATGAGTTGGGACTGACTCGATGGCAGTGAGGTTTTTTTTTTTTTTTTTTTTTGGCTGCCCATGAAGCACATTGGCTAGGAATTGAACATGGGCCTCCTGTATGGAAGACAGGAATTCTACCACTGAACCACCAATGCCTCACAAAATTTCTAGAGTTACTGCTAATCTTTAGCCTCATTCTTTTTGTCTGTTTTCTCCATCCTTTCCTCTATGCATATATCTACAATGTCATTGAGCCCTGACTAAAAACAAAACAAATGAAAAACAACAGCCCCAAAGATTTGGTGGTAAGAGAAAGTCATCTTTATTTTCACTGACAATAATGTTTTCACCTGCACAATCATTCTGTTGAATAATGAGCTCCTGCCTTCTGCTTCCACTCTGCAGCCTGACCATACATCCAGACATTTATTTATAGACGATTCACCACTTGTCTCAAAAATTTTTATTTAAACCAAAATAAACATTTACACACATAAAGCATTAATTTGTCTTGGCTTCTGTGTCCTTCTCCTGTGTTTCTAATTTCTTTTTGTTTATCAGACAATGCCTGGTGCCCTGGGATCTGAAATATGCAAATCTAGTCCCCACTCACTTTGGGATTGAGGTCATCCCTCAGGGAATAGGTTTTCACCTGATTAAACATACTGAATGGCTGATTTATTTCCATTCAGACCTCATAGAAAAGACAGACTATCAGAGTCTCCCCCTGGGAGAAGGTGAGACTGATTCTAGTCAGCATTTGATATGCTCACAGCTGAGAACTCTTGAAAACAAAAAGAGGAATGGAGAGAAGGTGTCCTGTTGTATTCAAAGTAAGTAACTCCAGTTTAAAACAGGATAAACCACCCATAGATTGGAATACTGAAGTTCATGTGCATGAATTCTGAAAGGTACTATTCCTATTTTAGGTTTGACTTTGGGTGATAATAAACCAAAAAAAAAAAAAAAAAAAACCCAAACGCACTGCCATGGAGTTGGATCTGACTCACAGCGACCCCTCCTTAGGTTTCTGAGGCCATATCACTACGCAAGTAGATTGCCTAACCTTCCTTCCAAGGAGGAGTGGCTGGTGGGTTTGAACAGACAGCCTTCTGGTTAGCAGTGGGTGATAGTAGCGTGGACTTATTTGGCCTCAAAACTTTCTCATCCCTAATAGCGTAGTGCTGAAGGCACTTGACTGCTAACCAGAAGGCTGGTGGTTCAAATCCACTAGCCAATTCTCAGAAGGAAGGTTGGGCAATCTATTTCCGTAGTGATACTTCCTCAGAAATCCAAGGAGGGGTCGCTATGAGTCAGGTCCAACTCCACAGCACATAACAAAAACTATACTTTCTAAAGTCTCTCCAAACTCTGTTATGTAAGGCTAGTATCTATGTGTATGCTAGTCAGCTAAATAGGAGCTCTGGTGGTATAGTGGTTAAAGCATTTGGTTAGCGGTTCAACCTCACCAGTCACTCCCTGGAAGAAAGATGAAGCAGTCTGCTTTAGTAAAGATATACCGCCTTGGAAATCCAACAGGGGTCACTCTGAGTCAGAATCAACTTGGTGGCAGTGACTGAGTCAGCTAAATACATCTTTAAACTGACTTTGCTATAAATAATTCCCAGTTACATGTATCTTCAAACCTATTTTTTTAAGAGTACAGTTATTTTTATTATTGCATCTGAATTATAGTTTATATCATATGAATTTGCAAGCAGAAAAAAGTGTAGAGAAATGAAATTTCCAGACCATATTACTAGGGGGAAAAAAAAAAAAAAAAAACATTTTGTGTTGAATGACAACTTTTGAAGAAAAATATTGGTGTACTTAGAAATAGAATTGGTGACCATTTCTGGATCCATTAGAAAGACAAGGACAACAGAAGGCTGTCATTCAGTTACAAACCCATGTGGAAAGGTGAGATGTGCTCTATAACTGAAAATAAGCAGATCCTCCTGTATATACAGATTTGAGGAGAATAGAAACTAGACTATTGGGGTGTTATGAATTGTATTGCATCCCCAAAAAGTGTTGTTGCAAATCTTAACCTCTGTGCCTATGGTAGGAGCTCTAGTGTTCATTGGTTGAAGTATTTGGCTGCTAACCAGAAGTCTGGCAGTTCGAACACACCAGCCACTCCTCAGGAGAAAGATAAGGTAGGCTGCTTCTGTAAAGGTTTATGGCCTTGGAAACCCTATAGGGGAGCTCTACACTGTCCTACAGGAATCCAATAGATGGCAGTGGGTTGGGCTTTTATTTTTTTCCTTCCCTCATGCCTGTGGTTATAATCCCATTTGGGAATGGGTTGTCTTTGCTGTGTTAATGAAACAGGATTGGTGTAGGGTATATCTTAAGTCAATCTCTTTTGAGATATAAAAGAGATTAAACAAGCAAGTAAGCAAGCAGACTTGCAGAAAGATACATGTCAAGCCACATGGAGTTCTCCAAGGAACCAGAAAACAGAAGCTGAAGAGATAAGTACCTTCCTCCAGGGCTGGCACAGAAAGACTTCCCTTAGAGCTGGCACTCTGAATTCAGACTTTAGCCTCTTAAACTGTGAGAAAATAAATTTTTATTTGTTAAAGCCACTCACTTGTGGTATTTCTGTTGTAGTAGCACTAGATAACTTAAGACATTGGTTCAAAGGGGAACATAATACTTTTCTTTATAGGCTTTGCAGCTTACAAAATGCTCTACCTTATATATTCTGAGTCCCTGGATAGTGTAGTTAACAGCTGCTAAACAAAAGGCTGGCTGTTCAAGTCCACCCAGAGGAACCTGAGAAGAAAGGCTTAGAGATCTACTTCTGAAAAATCAGCCAATGACAACCCTATGAAGCATAGTTCTACTCTGACACACACGGGTCCATCACCACGAATTGGAGTCCACTCAACAGCAACTGGTTTTGGTTATATTTTCTTATTTTAACTTCATAACAACTTTGTGGAGTTGTTATTTCCCCATTTTAAAGAGGAAGAAAGTGAGAAAAGGAGATTAAGTGGTTCATCGCAAAGTATATACCCAGTAAAGTATAGGATTTGAAACCATTTCTTTGGATGCCATATGGATGCTACCTCCACTCTCTGCTCCAACCATATGGTCTTTGGCTACATTCTTCCAGGTTTACCTCTCCTGTGTCCTTCCCACTGAGCTCTGAGCTGCCTCTTCTGGTTAATGTAAGGATAAGAATTAGGTCTTTCTCCTTATTTCCCTTTGTTGCACTGATTGATATCTATTCTCTGGCTAGTGCCTGTCCTTGGGCAAGTTGCTTCTCCCCACTGGGCAGCATTTTCTTCATCTTTAAGATTTCTTCTACTTGTTAAAGCCTCCATTTTTTAAAATTAGAACTTAAATTTTTAAATATAATAAGATAATAAATACTATTTCTTAAGCACTTTTAGGAGTTAGGTACTGCACTGGGTCTTTTACATGCACTATTGCTAACTCAGTACAGCCTGGCTATCTTACTCTTATTTTATGGTAAGACCCTTGAGCCACAGAGAGGCTAAGCTGCTTTACCAAGATCAAGGTCCTCATCCTCTCTCTCCTGAACCACTGCAAGAGCCTCCTAATAGGTCTCCCTACTTCAACATTTGTATCACTCTTTCCATTTTCCACACAATAGTTAGATTGATCTTGTGAAAACTGAAATCTGATCAAGTCACTGCCCTGATGTCTTCCCATCACACAACTTTCCTTCTTCACACTTTGTACTAGTCAGACCAACAGCCTGGTCTGATTTCCAGATCCTGTGAAATTGTTACCTTACATGGCAAAAGAGACTTTGCAGATGTGATTAAGGATTTTGAGATGGATTATGCAGATGGGCCCAATATAATCATCGTTGGGTGCCGTGAAGTCAACCAAACTCATAAGCAACCCCATGTGATAGAATAGTACTGCTCCATAGGGTTTTCTTGGCTGTAATGTTTATGGAAGCAGATCACTAGGTATTTCTCTCATGGAGCCACTGGTAAGTTTGAACTGCCAGGCTTTTGTTTAGCAGATGAGCCCTTAACTGTTGCTCCACTAGGGCACCCTAATGTAATCATAAGTGTCTTTATAAGAGGGAGGCAGAAGGGTAAGTCAGAGAGAGATTTGCAGATGCCACACTGCTGGCTTTGAAGGTGGAGGGAGGAGCCATGAGTCAAGGAATGCAAGTAGAACAGATTCTCTGGAGGAAGCATCGCCCTGCTAATACCTAGATTCAGCCTAGTGAAACCTTTTTCAGACTTCTGACCTCTAGAACTGTAGAATAACAAATTTGTGTTAAAACACTAGAATTGTGGTCATTTATTACAGCAGCAATAGGAAACAAATACACACTTCTATGCTGGTCTTCTCCTGTTCCTCAAACACACCAAGCTTATTTTGGCTTCAGGATTTTTGCACTTTCTTGCATGGAGTGGTCTGTCCCAAGATCTTAGAATGACCAGTCTATCCAGCCCACCACTCTGGCACACACCTTATTTTACTTTCTCCATGCTGTTATGACTGAAGTCTCCTTATTGATTGATTTGTTTTCTTTTTGTCTTACTCAATGGGAGTATAAAGAGAAGGATCTTATCTATCTTGTTCATTACTGCTATATGCCCAATACCTACAACTGTGTCTGTTACACTGTGTCCCTTTGTCTTACTGTAGGCAGATACGAAGTGATTTTAAAGGAAAATAAGACTGAAAGTAGCAGAACATGTACACAAACTCAATTCTATTTACTCCTAAACATTTATAAGATGAGCCTATTGCAAAATCACTTCTCACTCAGTAGAAAGTTTCTCCTAGAACCTTGCTAGAAGTTGGAAATGAGGCAGAAGTTAATACATTCAGAGAAACAGTAATCTTATCATGTCTTTCTCTTCACTTTGTTAGTTGTCACAGAAGACTTCTAGGAGCCAGAAAAGAATGGATCCATAATATACATAACAATATGCAATGTTATATGCACATAATAAATCCAATACTTATATTCTATTTTCATAACGGGAAAACTTGAATGTTCATTTAATTCCTTTCCAAGAGGTCTGATGAAAGAAAATTCAAGTGATTTCTTACAAATGGAAATTTGTCTTTTTCTTCCCCTTGTATGAATATTAGCAGTAATATTAATGCTATTTGTTTACATAGGGTGCCATGTTCCTTTCTCCAGGGA